TGATGTATGTATGGATTGTGATAAGAGTTGTATGAGCCCCTAATAAAATGATTAAAAAAAAAAAAAGAGCAGTTGGAAACATTGACCCACCCAGGGAAGCCTCTGAAAATCAGACAGCATGAATAGGCTAAAAAGGGACGGAAGTACACACCTTAACTACTCAAACAGAAGAGCACAGGATCAGAGGACTGAAAGACCCGTGTAACTTTATAAATAAAGCAGGAATGACCAATATTAAATTTGGAAAGATAAATAAACAGGTACCAGATCCGTGTGACCTAAATGAAGATGCTATGAACCAGGAAAGTCATTATTTTGAAAGCGGGGCCTGATATAATTAGGCGTGCGTTTCAAAATAATTAATTTATTAGTATTCCAGCAAGCTGAGATACTGAAAGCATGTAGGAGGCCATGGTGGTAGAAACTGAGTAGAAAAGAGATGTCATGGTTAAAACTTACTGCATTACGCATGGAGCTAAGGAAAAGGAACCAGTCAGAAATAGCTCCCATGTTTCTGGTCTGAATTACTTAATGGTTGGATGTCTGAGATGTTCACTGGGAAAAAGAATGGACAATGTCACTGGGATATTAACTGAGAAAGCCTCTCGATACTTAAGTGAGGTGTTAGGAAATTTAGGTTAGATCTAAATTTGTAAAGGACACCAGAAGTAACCACAAGCGGTCAAATTCATAAGCAGCTGGTCCAGAAGGGAAAGATTATCTGCACCTTCAAGGACTTAGATTTGGAAACCTTACAGAGCAGTTCTATTTTATCCTATTGGGCTTCTATGCCTCAAAATTGACCTGAGAGCCAAAATAATACACATAAAAAAACCCCAACTCATTTCCACTGAATTGATTCTGACTCATATCAACCCAATAGGATTGGTTGATATAAGGTATAAGTGTTCCTTTGGATTCTTGAGACTTTAAATCTTTATGGGAATCGCTTCTCGGCCTTTTGGCTAAGATCAAGTGTAGTACATCTTTATGGGAGCAGGCAACTTCATCTTTTGTGGAGCAGCAGGTGGATTCGAATCGCTTACCTCATGGTTAGCAGGTTAGCGTGTGACATTCACAACATCAGTTCTGACTCATAACGACCCTATTGGATGGAGTAAAACTGCCTCTTTGGGTTTACCTAGACTAACTCTTCATGGGAGCAAAAAGCCTCACCTTTCTCCCAAGGAGCTGCGAGTGGTTTTGAAAGCTCAAGAAATAAGCCACCAGGTGCAATATTGCATATTAATGGATATAAATTTCCATGTCAGAGCACACAGAAATAAATTTTATAGTGGAAGGAGGGACCAATATTTGGGTCCTAAAGGAATCTTGAAACTGATTTAGCACATGCAGAAGCCAGAAAAGTTCTGTGTATCCTGGCAGGCAGTACAAAAAAAACCCGACCACCAGCTGGATATATGGGCATATAACAGCAACTTGAAGGGGATTTGTAACAGGTGATAATTTTTCTTCTCATAAAACCAGAGATGATGCCAATGGGAAGAATTTCAATTAAAACAGAAGTGTAAAATATCAAGCAGAAGAAATAAGGCAAAGTTCCTGAGAAGGCTAGAGAGAATTAGATTTAAAACAGCTAAACAGTTTGCCTCTAAGAATAATTCCTCCATTTTAATCAAAATAAACAGGGACCAAGACAGTAAATGAGAAAGCCCAGATATACCTAGGGTGGAGTGTCATTTATGTGGTCTCAAAATAGACCTGTGGCTTAGGCAAAACTTACTTCTCCATCTAACTAAGATGAAGGTACAAATCTAAAGATCCCTAGAGGGTTCCAAGCCAACTGACCTTGGTATAGCTCTATGAATGACTAAGGAGAGTTAGCCCTTACTCTCACCTTTAAAAGCAACTTTGGAAGAGGGAGGCTGCTCCTACTGGTGTGCTTCTTGCTAGCTTGTATCGGAGACTATAAAAGCCTCCCCCAGCCCTCCAATGACCTCATTTTGCTATTCTGATAGCATTAAACTACTAAAGCAAGAGTTCTCTGAAGTGGGGAAACTCAAGTCTAGAGAAACCCACCATTGCTTGAGAATCTACTCACATAGATATTAATGGCAGGAAATGTAATGCAAAACTCAAGTTGCCTTCAATAACCAAATACCTTTCAGCTGGTCCACCACATTATTCAGGTATTTTATGAGCTCAGGATCAGTAGTCACAAGCAAAGTGAGTCCATATTTTTGTACTCGAGTAAATGTTTCAGATGGATATATGCCACGCTGATATAAAATGCTGTTAATGCCAAATGCTGAAAGCAAAAGAAAGGTTGAACAAAAGTTATTATCATTCCGATTTTAGACAACAAAAACATATCTAGCTGTGGCTATGGCTTTATTTATGCTCTAAAACTGTAAATGCCTAAGCACAGGCGTTTGTGCTGCAAATTAAAAGCTGCGTAACCAGTAACCAAACACAAACTGACTGTGTCGACCTTGGTGACCCTGTTTGATAAGGCAGAAACGCCCCTACGTGTTTCCTAAATTGTAACGTTTGACGATAGTGGAAAGAAAGCCCCATCTTCTCCTGAGGAGAGGCTGGTGCTTTTGAACTGCTAGACTTTTCGGCTAGTAATCGACAACGCCACCGGGGGTTCTCTCAACATAGCTGTTCAAAGGACACGACACGGCCACCAAACCTTGTTTCTAGGTGAAAGCAAGCCATATATGCCTTTACAGAACAAAAGAAAACTCAAAACACCCCAATGCAGTAACCTACCCCCGCCACAGGTTATCCATAGTACGGCAGGGTCAGGGTTAGATGTCAAACCAAGCTCAGACTAGCTTTTTGTCCTTCAGGCTCTATTAGAAGTTGTGGGTGCAGCTGGCCTGGCGTGTGTCGCCCGCCTCGGAGGGCCCGGGGCTGGTTACGAAAACATGCCGAGGGGCACCCCGGTCCCGGCGGGGTGGGGATCCACACCACGGAAGTGCTCCTGGGGAAGCGGCCGCTCGGCACCCGGGGCCCGCACAGCTCCGCGGGCGCCGGCCCGCCATGCGGCGCGTGCGCGCGCCTCTCCCGGGAGCCCCCGGTCCCGCCGACGGCGCGGGGCGGGGCGGGCTTGGATTCAGGCCGTTCCGGTCCAGCCCGCATCCCCGCCGAGGCCGCGCCGCGCCGCGGGGCCTCGGGGACGGCCTGCGCCCGTTGGGTGCTCCGCAAGCCGAGCCTGCGCGGCGGACTCACAGAAGAACTCGGCGACGATCTCAGCGCTCCCGCGGAGGGTGATGCCTTGCTCCCGGGTGAGCTGCAGCGCCATGGCCGGGCCCACAGACAAAGGTAGGCGCTTGCGCCCGGTAACTACGAAGAGGGGCGGCTCCAGCAGCAGTTCCCCGCCACTCGTTTCAAAAGTAACGTCGCTGCCCGACGTCAGGCCCTTCGCGCAGGCGCGACGAGCCGCTTGGTACCGCCCCACGCAGTGGCGTCAGGCCCGCCCCCTCTCCCGACTCCGCCCCCGCCGGGTAATCCATGCCGGGGACGTTGGGGGACCGGCCTTTTCTATTCCAGGTCGGGACGCGTGTGGTGCTGTGCTTTTGGGGAGGTGCTTTCAGATTGAGGTCGGCAGTGGGCAGAACGGACAAGATGGACTATCCAAAATTTTGTGCCGCTAATTATGCCTGTGGGCTGAACACACAAGGAGTATACTTTGAGTTCCAAAGCTATTTTCAAGTGGATGCGACCGTAGCCTGCTAAAGTGGCGCCCCAGTAATCATCGTACCTGGTTATGTTGCCCCCTAGTGGTCAAAAGTAACTGCGTGCGCAGGCCTTCAATGGCCTGATAATGCTCTCGTGGTTTTGTTTTTACACTGGTTTTTGTCTTTCCGAGAAATCCGTTTAGGGATTAAAGGAACAGGCCGCATGCACTTTTCTCTTCCATGAGCACTTTTCCTCTGAGTTCAGGGGCCCTTGCAAAGCAGGGCATCGGAGCCTGGGGGACTGCATGCCTACCGTACTCTGGTACATCTTCTCATCCTTGGGTGGCTAGTCAGGAAAGAAGTCACATCATCAAAAGGGCCCATCCGTGGTTAACGTGAATTTTGACTCTCTAACTCGATGGCTTTGATGTCAGCTTTTATGAGAAGTATTCTGGACACATTGCAAAATTAGTGTTTATGTGAATAGTATTTGATTATATGAGAAATTCTTAGTATTCATAATAATTTCTTACCAGGGCATAGACAATGACCCTAAATTTAGTGATTTAAAAAAAAAACCAACCCATTCCCCCTACTCCCACCCCATTTTGTTGATCAGAAAGCGTGACACATAAGGTGGAAATCATAGTGTGTGCTAAATACAGTGAACCCTCGCCACTTCGCGCTTCGACTTCAGCAGCTTCACTCTATCGCGGTTTTTGCGTAACAGCGCATGCTCTGTCATTACTGCCACTGATTGGCTCATACTGTACACGCTTGATGCCATAAATAATATAATAAATAATAAATGATCATTGTAACATCCAAAATGTTTTACTGTATTTTCCCTTTTTCATTTAATAAATTGGGTAATACGAGTGTAATGGTGACTAAAGGGTGTTTTTCATGTCCTCTATGCTCTAACTACGAAAATATTTGATTTACAAATAAGGAATCCTACTTCGCGGAATTTCATTTATCACGGTAGGGTCTTGAACCGATTAACCGCAATAAACGAGGGTTCACTGTAGTTGTCATCTGAGGTGTGGAGCTTTCTGCCAGGCCTCAGAGCTGTGGGCAGAATTCGCTTTCTTTGGGTTGTAGCTCTGAGGGACGGTCCCTTTTGTCTTGCTAGCCATTCACTGAAGGCCACGCTTCCAAACTTTGACTTCATGGAATTCCAGCCATCTTTTAAAAGTTAACATGAGATCAGGGGATATTTTCAGGTCAGATTCTTTCATATACTCTTGACCTAGTCCTGAAAGTAATACCTCATCATAATAACAGCTTCCGCACAGTGCTATACGGATTATTTATATAAGTGTACCCGTGTGAAGGCAGAGAGCACTAATTGAAGGAGCTAGTATACAATTGCGCTATTCTCATGAGATACTACATTTCAATCACTTTGAAGAGCAAGCCATGGGTATAATAGATGATAGGCTGATTTGACACATAACAACTCCATCTAGTGTTTCTGAAGTTATAAACCTTTATGAGAGCAGATAGCCTCATGTTTCTCTAGAGAAGCCTCTGGTGGGTTTCAACCACGGTACAGTTAGCAGCCCAAATAGAACATATCAATGGCAATGTCAATGTCACATGTGTTATATTTCTGCTGTGTAATGGTGGTGTGGAGTATGGGGTCTTAGGAGATGGCATGTTCAACCAGCACCGAATTATTGGATGCAGGTGCTCGGAGTACTCTCAGAAGCCCTGCTGGCTGCCATGCAGGTAGTGCTAACGTATGCAGGAGGTAAAAAGAGCTGCCCAAACTCTGTGACTCTGTTACTGCTAGTTATCACCACAAAACCAGGGTTGTAGAAACTTTGCAGGTACTTCTCCATTAACTTAAAAAAATAGTTTTATTGGCATATACTTCACCTATCATACAACTTAATCATTCAGTCATATTAAAAAGCAGTGTACAATCTTCACCACAATCAATCTCAGACCATTTTCTTCTCATACTCATTGTTTTTAGCTCCCCATTTAACCCAACATCCCCTCCCATGGCTCTAGGTAAATTTATTAATCCGGTTACCATCCCTATAGATTAACATTTCCTAGATTTCATATACAGAAAATCATATAAAACACAAAGAGGAAACAAGCAAACAAACAAACAACCGTGACGAGGCAAAACAGTTGAAACCTTGATTGAAAAGAAAGCAGAAACTATTAAAAATTGAAACAACTTTAAAATGCATCAGAAGGAAGATCAAATGATACTACATTTTAATGCACCTGCACCTGCTATCATTCCCAGGAGAGTAAACCATGTGATTTTCTGATTCACAAAAGCCAATAACAGTCCATTTCAGCTCCCTAATGTCTAGGACATCGAGCTTTATGAGTGCCATTTCATTTTTGATGACTTCCTAGATTCCGCAGCTAAAACCCGACCCAGGGCTGACTGCAACAGATGATCAATTGCTCATATGTAAATTTAGGTTGAAGCTGGAAAAAAAAATTAAAACAAGTCCATTAGAGCCAAAATATGACCTTGAGTCAATCCCACCTGAATTTCAAGATCATCCCATGAACAGATTTGCTTCATTGACCACTAATGACAGAAGACCTGATAAACTGTGAGATAACATCAAGACCATCATTCATGAAGAAAGCCAAAGGTCATTAAAAAGACAAAATAAAGAAAAGATCAAAGTACATGTCAGAAGACACTCTGAAACCTGCTCTTAATTGAAGAATAGCTAAGGCAAATGGAAGAAATGTTGAAGTCAAAGAACTGAACAAAAAATTTCAATTTCAAAGGGAAGCTTGAGAAGACAAAGTAAAATATGGTCATGAACATTATAATGAAATGTGTACAGCACTAAAATTAGAAAACCAAATAGAAACAACATGCTCAGCATATCAAAGTGAAAGAATTTTTAAAAATTCAAGACTAGATTGCAATCTTGAAAGATTCTATAGGCCAAATATTGAATAATGTAGACAACAACAAAAGAAGTTAGAAAGAATACACAGAGTCACTGTACCAAAAAGAGCTAGAAGACATCCCACTCTTGCTCATAGCATATGAGCCAGAACCAGTGGTGATGAAGACTAGTCCACAATCCATTCTTGTTCAAGAACATGAGCAAAACTCAATGGTACTGAAGGACGACATTCCAGCTGCACTGAAAGCATAAGCCAAGCCGCTACTTGGCCGCTGACGGGAAGAGATCCATATTTGTGCCTATTCCAAAGAAGGTGACCCAACAGAACACTCAAATATGGAACAATATCAAGGATTTTACATGCAAGTACATTTCTTGATGAAGATTATCCATCAATGGTTGTAGAAGTATATCGACAAGGAGCTGCCAGAGATTCAGGCTGGGTTCAGAAGAAGATGTGGAACAAAGGATGCTATTGCTGATGTAAAATGGATCTTGACTGAATGCAGAGCATACCAGAAAGATATTTACTTGTGTTTTCTTGACTATCCCAAGGCATTCTACTATGTAGACCATAACAAACTATGGATAGCCTTGAGAAGAATTAGAATTCCAGAACACTTCATTGTGTTCATACAGAACTTATACAAGGATCAAGAGGCAGTTATGGGAACAGAATAAGGGAGTACTGCATGGTTTAAAATCAGAAAGGTGTGCACCAGAATTGTATCCTCTCACCATCCTTGTTCAATCTGTATGCAGAATGAATCAGAGAAGTTGGATTATATGAAAATCTGCTGCAAAAGACCTCTTAATATGTTAAATAGCAAGGATATTACTTTGAGGACTAAGGTGTATTCGATCTAAGCCATAGTATTTTCAATACCCTCATATGCATGTAAAAGTTGAACACTGGATAAAGAAAACAAAAAAAAAAATCAATCCGTTTTAATTGTGGTGCTGGTGAAAAATGTTGAATGTACCATGGACTGCCAAAAGGACAAATACACCTGTCTTGTAAGAAGTATGGCCACAGTGCTCCTGAAAGTCCAGTATAGGGAGACTTTGTGCTACGTATTTTGGAAATGTTGTCAGTAGAGACAAGCCCCAGGAAAAGGGGCATCATAGTTGATAAAGAGGGGCAGCGAAAGAGAGAAGCCCCTTTGGGAGATGGATTGACACAGTGGCTGCAGGCTGCAGCAGTGGGCTCTAGAGTAGCAACCATTGTGAAAATGGTACAGGACCAGACAGTGCTTTGTTCTGTTTTGCATAGGGTCACTCGATGGTACCTAACAACAGCAATGGTAGCTTCCATAATCGACTTCACAAAGGCCTTTGTCTGATAGCAAAGCTGTTCACATCCTTGGACTTTGGTCAGAGGGAATTCACTGGTGGCTTAATCCATGTGGGGATGATGCAAAGGGGTTTTGTGCCTCCACTGTCATCCACAGCCTTCTGGAAACTGTATGTTCATAGTTTAACCTCTGATTCCATCAGTTCCTTTGGATTTGGATTTATAATTCTGAGATCACACAGGCTGGTGTAGTTATTCCATGTGAACTCAGTTGATAGATGACAGCTTGTTTGAAGACATGCCTTTAAGATCCTAGCCTGTTATTTCTGATAGCTGGGCACCATCTGGTTTCTTCACCACATTTTGCTGTAGTGCCCATATGTTCAGTGATCTCTTCCCGAGAGCAAGTATTGAGTATATTGAGTAGGGTTATCC